CCCCGTCCCCGGCCTGTGGCAGTCACCTGCTCCCCTCCATCCCCAAAGACGGGCTCAAGAACGTGCCACAGAGAATAGACTAGAGACCCGCCCCTGGCTCGGAGCAGTGGCAGAGACATCACCCCACCACCCGGAGGAGCGAGTGGTCCCAGGAGGCTGAGGAAGCAGGCTCAGAGCTTGTGGCGTGGAGGCCCACAGACCCCTGCTGGAGTCTGCTTTGTGTGTCGCTTCATGGCCTTGATTTCCTCATCTGTAAAATGGGGGCATTTGTGATGGTGCCCGGCCTTCAGGGTGCGCCGTCGGCTCACGCACGGTGCTCACGCCTGGTGAGTGCGCCTGCCAGCGAGGCTGTGGTTGTTGTGATTGATAACACCTGCAGGTCACACTGCAGCAGGCCCTCTCAGAAGACGCCCGAGCGCCCCCCGTCGGAAGCCGTGAGCAGCAGACAGGAGGAGCAGAGTTGAGCGAGGCCAGCAGTTTGTTGAAAGCCTGGAGGGAGCCCAAGCAGTAGTTTAGCAGCCGAGACGAAGGCAGGATGGTTTCCAGCTCTCTGTGCTGTCCTCGATGGGATTGGCTCCTAGAGGCAGGCAGTCAGCGGACCTCCCGCAGCCCGGGAGGCGGCACGATCATGCTCAACTTGCAGGGGACGAAACGGAGCCAGGGACACGTGGCACAGAAGGCCGGCTCAGTCACAGAGGTGACCCCTCCCCGCCCCATCACACCTGCTGGCTGGCCTCGTGGCGGGTGGGGGGCTGCCATCCGACCTCCCAGGGCTATGCCATCACTTACCTCTGGAATGTGCACTCTGCCTGGGCGGGAGCTTGTGAGAAAGGAGGAGAAGTCAATGGGGTTGGGGAGGGGGTAGTGGGGAGGAGGGGGAGAGGGTGGAGGAGAGTGGGGGAGGAGTTGGGTGGGGAGGAGGGCTCCTCTGGCTCATCCGGAGAAGGCGATGAGGGCAGCCTCTGCAGAAGGTGCCTCTCACAGCCACAAGGTGTGCAGCTGCCCTAGAAAGCCTTCCACCAGTGGTACCCACAGAGCCTTCCAGAACCCCAGGGACTGAGAAGTGGCGAGGACAGGGACTCCTGCCAGTGCCCAGAGCGGCTCTTGCACCTGCAGCCCCTGGGGCATCGCTAGCCGCCTCCCTTTTCTCTGGAACCTTCAGTCCTAAGAACCTCTGCAGGGGGCTTTGGAAATGCTGGCTCCTGGGATGCTGGGTGAGGCGGTCTGAGGAGGACCCCAGAATCCAGACCCCTGCAGAGCCCACGGGCCGGGTGGGTGTTGGTTCCTTGCTGCGTGTTTCCATTTGAGCCTGCATACAGCTCGGGTGGTGAGAGCCACGCCCCTCCCCAGCCCTCTCCCTCCTGCCCGCCCCAGCTGGCCTTCTCTCTCTTTCCTCCTCTGTGCGTCCCCTGCTCTTCCATGCACCGTCCTAGAGATCCTTCAGCGCTTCCGTCCTCGTGGGAACCGCGACGTTGTGTGTTTCATTTGCATAACGGCATAGGCTATACTTTACTCTCTCTTTCCACTCAGCACCACGTTTTAAGACCAAGACGTGTTGCTAAACTACTTGTTCACTGCTTCAATCTGCAGGATTCCGCCATCTGTATCTGTCACAACTCGCTTATCCATTCCCTGGGGGCAGACACGAGGGGACCCCTCCCCCAAGTGCCACAAGCTACACAGGCACACGTTCTTGTGCCTTGTTCCTCTGTAAGTGATGTTGCCGACAGCGCTTCTGCAGCCCTGGGGTTCCTGGGACCTGCGGAAGCAGCTTGCATTCATCCCAGCTTTCCCAGCCCCCAGCCATGCGCTCTGGACGTCAGACAATGCTGGGTTCGGGTCTCAGTGGGTCAGATCAGAGAATGAGGCACTGTTGTGGCTGGTGGGGGTGGGGTGGTGGATGAGGACCCTCATAGCTAATAATACGGAAGCATCTGTTGAAAGTTCACCGTGTGCCAGGCATGGGGCAAGCGTGTCACTGTGTCGCTTGCTTTCATCCTCGCCTTCATTGAAGGGGGCAAGAGCTATTCTCATCCCCATTTTATGGATGAAGAAACTGAGTCACAAAGGTGAGACAGGTCTTGAGCCCAATAGCACGGGGCCTTCTGCCTCCCCCAGACTGAGAAGCGCCAACCCCACCAGCGCTGCACGCCTCTCCTGCTGGAGTGAATGGCCTCTGGTGGGGGCTCCATGACCCGCGCTGGCCGTCTCACAGTGCTGGGGGCCGGAGGGTTGAAATGGTCCCATCGGGCTGAAGAGGCTGCCACCTTCCTGTCTCCGCATTCAAAGCCAGGGACAGAGTCCTTCTCACTCTGACCACGTGGAGGGATGCCTGCAGGGGTCGGGCACCGAGATAACCCAGGTGATCTCCCGGCCTCAGAGTCAGCTGCCCGGCAACCTGAATTCCCTGGGTAACCATGGTCCTCGCAGGTCCCAGGGATTAGGGTTGCTTTGCCTACCCAGTCCCTCCAGGGGCGCGTGCCTGCGCTGATCACCTGGGCCTGCTGTGGACCCAGCCTCAGCAGTGGCACCAGTCAGACCCCTGCTGCTGGGCTTCACCCAGCCAGGTCACAGCTACACACATGTACTCACACACATGCACACATACATATGCACACATATATACACACATGCACACATATGCCCACGCTCACACTCATAACACACATACTCACACTCACGCACACGCATATACACACACACTTATAATACACATACACTCATGCACACTCATACTCACACACATACGCACACTCACGAACATGCACACATACACACACTCACACTCATAACACACATGCACACTCACCCATGCACACACTCACACATACACACATACATGTACTCACACTCATAACACACATGCACACACACTCCCACACATGCACACATACATGTACTCACACGCATAACACACATACACTTGTGCACACACATGCACTCACACACACGCGCGCTCACACGCACACACACTCATCAGATCAGCTTTGGTAATCCATTACTCCCATCCCCAGCGAGATGCCTCATCCCTCACCCCACACAGCCGCATAGGCGCTCTTGCAGGGCTCGCCATAGCGCCACCTACCTGTCACCTCCACAAAGGCACCCTGCGATCCTGATCGTCTTCCCCTCACCCGCTGCTCATCCCCCAAGTGTCCCGCCTCCTCTTCACCTGGAATTCGTCCAGGTCTTCACCACCCCCCACCTCCCGGCTCAGCCTCCATCGTCTGTTTCCAGAATGACCGCAGCAGCCCCCAGCCTGGCTGAGACACACTCCCCTAGGTACTGCAGCCGAGGGGCTGGCTCCTTCCTACCCATGGGTCAGCCCTTATCTCCTCCTCCAGGAAGCCCCCCCTGAACCATCCAGCTAGTGCTGTCCGCCCCGTTATCATCCATCTCCATCCATCGCCTTGCCCCGTTCCATCACAGCCCTCACTGCGGCCTCCCTCTTCATGCTGCCTTTGGAGACTGCCCTGGGGAGCCTGCACTCCATCAGGACAGGTGAGGGTTGTCTTGTCCTCCGCCAGCCCGGCACAGGGTCTGGGACAGGGTCTGGCACAGGGTGAGCAGTAACTACTGAATGAATGGATGAGCACTCCCCCAGGACCTCTCATTCCCCCATCGCAGCCCCCTTCTCCAACGGCTTCCTCTTCCTGAGGACTCAAAGGCCCTCGGTGGCAAAGTTCCCAAAAGGCAGCAAGCTCTTAGGACCCACTCTGCCGAGCAGAGAGAGCCCAGGCTTCCCGTGAGGGCCCCGGCTGGCAGGAAGCCGCATCCTCGTGCGGAAGCGTGGACTCTGGGGTCCAGGGAGGCCACGGGACTGTGCCCGTTCCTGGGCAGCACTTCCTGGGGGATCCTGATCTCACAAGGGGGGGTGTGTGGCATCTTGAGCTCCCGTTGCTGAGCAGGCTACAGAGGGTGGGGGTGAGGGCCGGAGCTTGGCGCAGGGAAGCCGGGAGGGAGGGCCGGAGGGGATGCCGGCCTGAGGCTCCTGGAGCCTTCAGGAGCGATGTGTGGCTTTGCCTCCACCGTCATTCTTGCCAGACAGAGCTGTCTGATTCCCCATCTTTGGTGGCAAAGATAAAGCAGCGAGCAGAGAGGAACGCTCCCGCTAAGAGCAGCGCTGAAGAGAGATTATTCCCACGCCTCTGAGGGATCCTGGCAGGCTTTGCCGGAGGAAATGCGTTCCAATTTTAGGCGAAGTTAAAAACGCTCTGAGCGCTCGAAAATCACAAGCCATCTTTATTTCACACACAGGCGCACCGGAGTTGTCCCAGAGCCGGTCTGTGAAACTGGCTTTCCCCAGAGACGAGTGAGTGGAGGACGGTGGGCTTTTAGGCAGCGTTTTCTGGTGGGGGCCCCGCCAGGAGCCCCTGTTAAAACCCTGCTTCTCATCCCCGCAGCGGGCGGTGGGGGGCGCCCTGTGCCTGTCCACAGCTCCGGTGGACGCTGGGGTAGTGGGGCGGGCTTCCCTTTGGAGCTGATGGGCCTTGGGACGGAACGGAGGATGATGGTTGTTTTAAAACGCCAGCTGCGGCGGCCATTGGAGGGTGAACCAAGGGCAAAAGGAAGACCTTTCTCTCTGTCTCTCTCTCTCACTGTCCACTCTGCCTGTCAAAAAAAAAAAAAAAAAAAAAAAAAAAAAAGCCCAGCCTCTGATTTTTACCGCTTCTCTCGGCGTCAGCTTAATCCCGGGAACCTCTGTTGCCATAATCCAGAGATCTCTAGCCCCCCTGTGCCTATGGGGCCAAAAAGGGAGGCAGAGTGGGCGTGAGGAAGACAACAGGGAGCCCTGGCGACTGCGGTGGGCTGGAGGGCAGCCATTGCTCAGAAGGCACCGAGCCCAATGTTGCCAGATAATTCTGATTTTTTAAGAAAAGCCAAGAATATGGATTTTTTTGCACAAAATTTCTCAATTTTCGAAAGCTTCTCCAAGCCAAGCAAAATATTTGCTGGATTTGTGGCTGAACCAAAGTCTGTCCCTGAGCTAGTGATGAAGAGGCGCTCTCGATCGCGTCACAAGAGCCCTCGGCTAGGAGAGCTGGCACGAGGGGTCGTGCGAGCCGAGGCTTGGAGCTCAGTCACCTGCGAGTGCCCTCATCAGCAAGAAATGGCCTCCCGGGGGCACTTGTCTGAGCTCTCCCACTGCGGGCCCAGCGGCTCGGAGATGCCCCAGGGAGCCAGCCGCCCGTCCAGTGAAGGAGCCAGGCCAGCAGGGACGCTTCCCGCGTGGGCGGTCGGTGCCAGGGAGACGGAGGCACCACTTGTAAAGGATCGGGTGCTCGGCTTAGCAGGAAGAGCCAAGGAGGGCTTCCTGGAGGAACGGGCATGGCCACTTCGCTCCTGGCTGCTGCTTGACATGAGCAAAGGCAGCTCTGTGTCACGGCTGTGCTGCCTTTGCTCCTGGTCTCCTGTCCGTGGCGAGTGATATCTGCGTCCCACTGAGGGAAACAAGGCAAGGCTGGGAGGACGGAGCGCCTCCCGTGTGCCGGGAACGGCTCTGAGGCACATGACTCACTCAGTCTCTCAGCTATCCTGTGCGAAGGGTCTATGGTTATACCCATTTTACAGATGAGGATGCAGAGGCACATCAAGGCTGTCCAGGCCATGTGGCTCCAAAGTCTTATTTGTAGCCAGCACGTCAGGGCCCCACCCCCTTGGTATCACAGAGTGTGGGGCCAGATTGTCCCCGTCATAGGGGGTGGTCCTCTGTGGCATTCCTGGTTTCTACCCGCTGGATGCCAGTAACGCCCCCCAGTCATGGGCCTGTCCCCTGGGGAACAAATGCTCCTGCTTGGTCTACACTAAACTGCCTTCCCTTGCTAATCAAACCCCAACAGAAAGGTTGGGTTCCTTCTTAAACGGGGACCACGCCGGGTTCCCCACACTGATGCCTACAGAGCAGTGCTCAGAGGTGGATTTGCAAGTGTGAAGTTAGGATTGTGTTTTAATTTATTTCATTTATTTGAAAGACAGAGTGACGCAGAGGGAGGGACAGAGAGAAAGATCTTCCATCTACTGGCTCACTCCCCAAATGGCCACAATGGCCGGGGCTGGGCCAGGCTGAAACCAGGAGCCAGGAACTCCATCTGGGTCTCCCATGTGGACGCAGGGGCCCAAGCGCTGGCGCCGTCTTCCGCTGCCTTCCCAGGCCACAGCAGGGAGTTGGGTCAGAAGCAGAGCAGCCGGGATTGGAGCCGGCTCTGCACTACAGGATGCTGGTGTCACACGTGGCAGCTTAACTCGCTGTGCCCGGTGCTGCCCCCCGTAGTCAGGGTTAGTAAGTGAGTGGCAGCTCGGGCTGCCGTGAGAAAATGCCGCACACCGGGTGGCTTAAACAGCAGGCTTTAGCTTCTCACTGGTCTGGAGGCTGGAAGCTGGGGAGCAGGTGCCTCATGGCCACGTTCTGGGGAGGGCTCCCTTCCAGGATAACAGACCCGATTTCTTGCAGTGGCCTCGCGGGACCCAGAGGGCTCCCTGGTGTCTCTTCCTCTTTTACCACGAGCACCAATGCCGCCATGGCGGCTCCCCTCTCATCCCCTCACCTGAACCTGGCCACCTCCCAAACCCCGCCTCTAAGCCCCTGACACTGGGGGTTAGGGCTTTAGTCTGGGCCAAGACGCACGGGGCAGGGAGGGGGCCAAGGTGGAAGGGGGCAGGGAGAAGAGGAGGGACTTGGCAGTGTCTGCAGAGGGGCACTGGGGGCTCACGGAGGTCTCCCCCGTCTCCCCAGGCCCGAGAGGGATGTGAAGGCCCACAATGACCCTGTTACCGGGAGACAACTCCGACTACGACTACAGCGCCCTGAGCTGTACCTCGGACGCCTCCCTCCACCCGGCCTTCTTCCCGCAGGGCCAACCCATCAAGGGCGTGTTCTACCGCAGGGCCCAGTGCCTGCGGCCCCAGGCGGACCCCCGCCAGCCTAGCCCGCCGGGGGACCGCCGCCGGCAGATCATCATCAACGTGGGGGGCATCAAGTACTCGCTGCCCTGGACCACGCTGGACGAGTTCCCGCTCACGCGGCTGGGCCAGCTCAAGGCCTGCACCAACTTCGACGACATCCTCAACGTGTGCGATGACTACGACGTGACCTGCAACGAGTTCTTCTTCGACCGCAACCCGGGGGCCTTCGGCACCATCCTCACCTTCCTGCGGGCCGGCAAGCTGCGGCTGCTGCGGGAGATGTGCGCGCTGTCCTTCCAGGAGGAGCTGCTCTACTGGGGCATCGCCGAGGACCAGCTGGACGGCTGCTGCAGGCGCCGCTACCTGCAGAAGATCGAGGAGTTCGCCGAGATGGTGGAGCGGGAGGAGGACGACGACCCGCTGGACAGCGACGGCCGCGACAGCGAGGGCCCGGCCCCCGGCGCCGGCCGCCTGGGCCGCTGCATGCGGAGACTGCGCGACATGGTGGAGAGGCCGCACTCGGGGCTGCCGGGCAAGGTGTTCGCCTGCCTGTCGGTGCTCTTTGTCACCGTCACGGCCGTCAACCTCTCGGTCAGCACCTTGCCCAGCCTCAGGGAGGAGGAGGAGCAGGTAAGAGACTCCACGCGGTGAGAGAAGGTGGAGCCCTCTCCCTCGCCTTCATCCCACCCTTGTCCCCTCCTCCAAGAGGCCCGCCCTGACTGCACCCTGGTCTCCCCTGACATGGCGGTGTGCTTGCACGCCTGTTGCTGGCCTCCCTGTTAATATGCAGGTGCCACAGGGCTGTCTGCCACGCCTATCCTGGTGCACCCTCCCCCCAGGCCTGCTCTGTTTTAGAACAGGGTTCAGGGGCTGCTGCTGTGGCATAGTGGGTAAAGCCTCCACCTGCAGTGCCGGCATCCCATATGGTTCGAGTCCCAGCAGCTCCACTTCCGATCCAGCTCTCTGCTGTGGCCTGGGAAAGCAGTAGAAGATGGCCCAGGTCCCCTGGACCTGTGTGTGAGACCTGGAAGAAGCTCCTGGCTCCTGGCTTCAGATCGGCTCAGCTCTGGCCACTGTGGCCATTTAGGGAGTGAACCAGTGGATGGAAGACTTCTCTCTCTCTTTCTCTCTGCCTCTGCGTCTCTGTAACTCTACAATTCAAACAAATAAATCTTAAAAAAAAAAAAAAAAGAAGAAGAAGAAGAAGAAGAACAGAGTTCAGCACAGACAAAGCCCTCAGTCGCTGGCTTGGTTTTGTTTTGTTTTGTTTTTATTTTGCAGGTAGAGTTATAGACAGTGAGAGAGAGAGACAGAGAGAAAGGTCTTCCTTCCATTGGTTCACTCCCCAAATGTCCGCTATGGCCGGCACTGCGCCGATCCGAAGCCAGGAGCCAGGTACTTCTTCCTGGCCTCCCATGCGGGTGCAGGGCCCAAGCACTTGGGTCATCCTCTACTGCACTCCCAGGCCACAGCAGAGAGCTAGACTGGAAGAGGAGCAACCGGGACAGAATCCGGCGCCCATAAGGGATGCCGGTGCCACAGGCGGAGGATTAACCAAGTGAGCCATGGTGCTGGCCCCTTGGTTTTGTTTTTTGTTTTGTTTTGTTTTGTTTTACAGGCAGAGTGGATAGTGAGAGAGAGAGAGAGACAGAGAGAAAGGTCTTCCTTTGCCGTTGGTTCACCCTCCAATGGCCGCCGCGGCCAGCGCGCTGCGGCCAGCGCACCGCGCTGATCCAATGGCAGGAGCCAGGTACTTATCCTGGTCTCCCATGGGGTGCAGGGCCCAAGCACTTGGGCCATCCTCCACTGCACTCCTTGGCCACAACAGAGAGCTGGCCTGGAAGAGGGGCAACCGGGACAGAATCCGGCGCCCCAACCGGGACTAGAACCCGGTGTGCTGGCGCCGCAAGGCGGAGGATTAGCCTAGTGAGCCGCGGCGCCGGCAGTTTTGTTTCAATTAATTAATTTATTTAAAGTTAGAGCATGACAGATAGAGAAAGCTTCTACTCCCTCACCATCCAGCTGCCTGCAAAAGGCTGGAGCTGGGCCAGGCTGCAGCCAGGACCCGGGAGCCAGGACCCAGGAGCCAGGAGCCGGGAGCCAGGAGCCCTCAGAGTCTCCCGTGTGGGTGGCAGGAGCCTAAGTGCCAGAGCCATCACCGCTGCCTCCCAGGGTCACAGTGGCCAGAAGTGGAGTCAGGGGCTGGAGCCGGAGTCAAACCCGGGCACGCCCGTGTGGGACCCAGGTGTCTTGATTGGCATATTTTTTAAAATATTTGAGAGGTAGAGTTACAGAGAAGGAAAGACAGAGAGAGAGGTCTTCCATCTGCTGGTTCCCTCCCCAAATGACCACAATAGCCAGAGCTGGGCCGATCCGAAGCCAGGAGCCAGGAGCTTCTCTCAGGTCTCCCACACGGGTGGGAGCACTTGGGCCATCTTCTACTGCTTTCCCAGGCCATAGCAGAGAGCTGGATCAGAAGAGGAGTAGCCTGGACACGAACCTGTGCCCATATGGGATGCCAGCACCACAGATGAGGCTTAGCCCACTACACCACAGTGCCAGCCCTGATTGGCATCTTAAGCATTAGACTAAGCAGCCGCCCCAGTCACTGGTTGTTGAATGGACAAATGGTGCCATCGAGGCCATGCCGGGCCCTCATGGATGTGACCAGCATTCATCTCACCAGCTCAGTCCTTTCCCAGCCTCCTGAACTCCCTCCTCTAAACAGCCCAGACACGTTTCCTGCGTCTCCAAAGTCATTGTCATTGATCCGGGCACCCGAGAAGCTCTTTGTGTTCAATGAGGGGCTGGGTGTAGACGACTCAGTCTCTGTCTCACTCTGGGGGTGCTCCCTTCTAAGTGCTCAAATAGGAGCCGGGAGCTGGGCTGCCTGCTCTGCCTGCATTTTACCTCCTCAGCAAAGCCCCCAGCAACCTGGGGGGGTGGGAGGGAAGCTCTTACTCCACCTGATAGAGGAGGACACTGGGGCAGAGCAGCCCAGCCAGGTCCACGTCTGTGCCCTTAAACATGGAAGGGCGTGTCTCCAGGCTGGAGACCCAACAGAGCCCCGCAGAAGAACACGGGACCTTCATAAAGCTGACAGGAAATGCGTATTATGAAAGCAAAAGCGCATGCGTGGATTTCAAGAAATGCTGCACCAAAGTAAACATCTTTTAATTCTGCTTCCCACAAACTTTTTGAAGTACCCTCGTGTGATTGGCTCACACAGTGTTTCCCAAAAATCTGGCTTGATTGCCGACATTTAAAAGTCAGGTGTTTTCCATAGAAAAATCCACACTTTTAGCTTCTCTTAAAAACCACCAGGTTGGGCCTCCTGGCCTGTGGTCCTGCACGGGGAGCCCAGTGCACTGGCGCATCCCCTCCAGTTCAGCTGTTGGGTTGGGACCCCTGCCCTGCACGTGGGGGCTCTGGACGCAAGTGTTGGGAAACACTCCAAGGTCTCTTACAAGCGCAGGTTGTATGGGCGTTGGAGAAACAGGTAAGTCGTGAAAACGTAACAAAGATACCATGCCAGCCTGCATTTATTGAGCACTGACTGTGTACCCTACGTGGGCTGTGTGCTGTACGTGTATTCTCTGACTTAACATCAGAAATACCCCACAGGAGGCTGCTCCTGTATGTTATAAAGGAAGTAGCATGAACTTTTTTAAAAAAGATTTATTTATTTATTTGGAAGGCAGAGATAGAGAAGAAGAGAGAGAGAGAGAGATCTTTCATCTGCTGGTTGACTCTCCCAGATGGCCACAACAGCCGGGGCTAGGTCAGGTGGGAGCCAGGAGCCAGGAGCTTCTCCCTGGTCTCCCGCGTGGGTGCAGGGGCCCACGCCCCCGGGCCAGCTTCCGCTGCTGTCACAGCCCACAGAGCATTTTCTTTGTATCAGAGCCGCACAGCACTTACATCAGCCTTTTCCTGCGTACCCGACATCTCCTGCCAGAGACGTGCCATAAAACTGGAGGTTGCCAGCTGCTCTTGAAAGCACAGGCGAGGCAGCCTTAGCCTGGATCGGCCTGGCAGGGGGTGGGGGTGGGGGTGATGGGGGTGCCGAGCACGACCACCAAGCTCTCCAGGGACCCCCCACCCACTTACCCTTTGCCTGCCTGGCCCTGGTGGCCATTGCATTTGCACCCCCATCTGAACCCCATCCAAGGTTCTTCCAGTTCATTCCCAGAGCAGCCAGGCACCGGGCACTTGCTGTGTGCCTGGTTTTTCCAGGCAGCAAACGGCACGCACGAACTTCCCTGCCCCGTGGGGCTGTGACCTCTGCACGGCAGTGGGGGCAGGGGACAAGCAGGAAGCCTGATAAACAGGAACTTACAACACCTGCGAAGGACCAGATGGGGATACAGAAAGTTGGGGTGCAGAGAAAGGTGGGATTTTTTCATCCGAGGGGTCCCAGGCGGTCCTTGTGGATAATGATGACTGAAGCCAGGAGCTGGAGGGAGGGAAGGCAGGAGCCAAGGGGGTGTTTGAGGAGTGGGGGGGGGGGGTGTCCAGTGAAGAGGCAGAGTGGCTTGAGTTGGGGGCTAGAGGAATGAGGCGGAAGCCTGCGAGGCTGGAGCAGGGGAGCAGGGGTGGGGGAGGACGTCAGAGAGGTGCTGGATGGACAGACAGCTCAGGACTCCATCCCCCGGGGCCTGAGCAGAGGAGACCCACTTGAGCTCTGGGTGTCCCCCTGGCTGGTGTGATATGGAAAGAGGGCTTTAGGGATGCAGGAGCCCAGGAGGAGGTGACCACAGCTGTGCAGGCGGGCAGGGGCCAGGGACAGAGAGAAGTGGCTTGATGCTGGCAAAAGCTCATGGACAAAAGGAGTTAAAAGACGAAGCACATTTCCCAGGGGGCCCATCGGGAGGTGTGTGAGAGGTGCGGAGGATGAGGCCATGAGGTCTCGTCCCCAGCAACAGGAAGGCACAGGTGGCCTCCTCTAAAGGGGTGACAGGCAACCAGGCAGGTGGGCAGGAGAGACTGGGCGGGGCTCAGACGGGAGGCAGACCGCCCAGGGGCCGCGGTGCGGCTGGAGAAATGAGGCCTGGTGGTGCCCGACGCCCTGGGCCTAGGAGTGAACCTAGCTAGAGCTGCGAGGACCCGCGGCAGGCCGGGGTCACCTGCTGCCCAGGGCAGGGCTCACCGCGAGGCCTCTCCCTCTCCGCCAGGGCCAGTGCTCGCAGATGTGCCGCAACGTGTTCATCGTGGAGTCGGTGTGCGTGGGCTGGTTCTCGCTCGAGTTCTTCCTGCGCTTCATCCAGGCGCCCAGCAAGTTCGCTTTCCTGCGCAGCCCGCTGACGCTCATCGACCTGGTGGCCATCCTGCCCTACTACGTCACCCTGCTGGTGGACGGCGCCGCCGCCGCCGGCCGCCGCAAGCCCGGCGCGGGCAACAGCTACCTGGACAAGGTGGGGCTGGCGCTGCGCGTGCTGCGCGCGCTGCGTATCCTCTACGTGATGCGCCTGGCGCGCCACTCGCTGGGGCTGCAGACGCTGGGGCTCACGGCGCGCCGCTGCACGCGCGAGTTCGGCCTCCTGCTGCTCTTCCTGTGCGTGGCCATCGCGCTCTTCGCCCCGCTCCTCTACGTCGTCGAGAACGAGATGGCCGACAGCCCCGAGTTCACCAGCATCCCCGCCTGCTACTGGTGGGCCGTCATCACCATGACGACCGTGGGCTACGGGGACATGGTCCCCAGGAGCACGCCGGGCCAGGTGGTGGCGCTGAGCAGCATCCTGAGCGGCATCCTGCTCATGGCCTTCCCGGTCACCTCCATCTTCCACACCTTCTCGCGCTCCTACCTGGAACTCAAGCAGGAGCAGGAGCGCGTCCTGTTCCGCAGGGCGCAGTTCCTCATCAAGACCAAGTCGCAGCTCAGCGGCGTGTCCCAGGACAGCGACATCCTGTTCGGAAGCGCCTCCTCCGACGCCAGAGCCCCGCGCTGAGCCCCGGAAAAGCCGCTTCGGAGGGCACCAGGCCCGGGGGGGGGGGGGCGCGCCCGGCCCGCCCCGGCTGCTTTCCCCGCGCGCCCCGCCCCTGCCTGCTGCCCTCACTAAGGACGCGGCTTCTCCTTCCCACCCTGCGACCCCTGCGCCTGGCGAAGGCTGGCTTCGTGGGGCTGCCCGCAGAGAAAAATACAGCAAGAGCAGCGACCTCGCGGCTGCCTGTCCGTGTGTCCGTGTGTCTGTCCTTCTTCGCATGGCCTCCGAGGACAGGAAATTGATAACGGGAGGAAACTCCCTCCCTGGCGCTCTTTTGGAGTCAAGATTCCCAGCGGGGACCTCAGGCGGGGGGCTGCAGGAGAAGGTGTTTCGGGGTCCCGCATAATTGGGGGGCAGTGAGGCTGGGGGGGCAGGCCTCGGGCTGTTGCGGCTCAGGAAGGCCCTGCCTGTCTGGGCCCCCACCTCCCAGCCCTGTCCTCTCCCTTATCCCTCCCATCTTCCCTTCTCTTTTGTGTCTTGACCTTTGCCCCCAGAGGCATCCCAGCAACCTCTTAGCGTTGCTCATGGCAAAGCAAGGTGCATTTTCGGTTCTACTCCACATTTATTCTAGTGTTTGGGTGGGGCGGGAGGGGGGGGGTTTACACGGTTCTCCTGGATCCACATCTAAACGGCCAGTGGAGCTATTGTTCCAGGCGGGGCGTCCCTGGCCCTAGAGCCATCTGAGAGGCACAGACACAAGTCCTGCAAGGCCTCCCCGTGTCCCCCACGGGACCTGCACCAGCCTCCCCATAAAGGTAGTGGGGGTGACACATGTCGGGAGGGGCTGCCCAGTAGTTCTGCCTCAGCTGGCGGGGATCGGAGCTCTGGGGAGGGGGCATAGGGAGTGTCTTCATGCCCTGTCCTCCTTGGTGGTTGACCATGACATAGAGGATAAAGACCAGCGTCCCAGTGCCAGGCCCTGCCCTGCTCCCTATCCCCCCCCCCCCCGCCCCGTCCTGGGTAAGGTGGCCACAGCTGCCTCAGCACGGGATCCACCTGGTGACGCGGAGTGGAAATATCATCCAAGACCCGAGGGCCCCATTAGAGACTCCCCTGGCACCTGCTTCCCATGACGCACGTCCGGAAAGTATGTTTTCCGGCTAATTAGCTCTACCTGGCCCAGCCTAGTGGGTGTCATAGAGATCGGGCACTGGTGTCACCATAATCACGCCTGAGATTTATGGAATGACCTTTTTTTCTCCCCTCGGAAGTGGCTGTGAGAGGCGGGGGCCGCTGACAGTGCTAAACAGATGGAAATATAATGTGGTAAGAACTAGGAAATGGAACCTTTTAAGACTCAGGGGAGCGGGAAAGCAAATGCCACTTGGAGGTAGCAAAGGGAGTGCCTGACAGAGCAGCAGTGCTGGGAGGGCAGCCTCGTGCCCCAGGTGCTGAGGGCGGGGCGGGGCCGTGCCGGGAAGCGGCTGGGTGTCGGGGTTTCTGACCTGTCTCGCAGATTCTGGCCCGTCCTGGTGACCAAGGCAGAGGCGTGGATCAGGGACCCCGCAGACCCTCACTGGAGGACGGGGCCAGGGGAGGGGGTGCTCCAGATCCGGACCCTCACCCTGGAGTGGGGCTTAGGGGGTCCCAGGCCCTAATTAAGAATCCAGAGGCTTCAGGGTACCTCACAGGCTCCTTCGAGGCTTTTCAAGAGTGTGGATTTTCCATGTTTATTCTCAGCGGAACCTGTTTCTCCTGTGGAATCTGGTGCAGAAAGCCCAGCTACGAATCAGGTGGAAATAGCGTCTCTGGTCAAAGTGTGGAGCAGGATCCTCAGGGGGCCTCTGTTCTGAGCCCTGTGCAGTTCCCTCTATACACCCTGGGGGGCGCTGTGTGGCCATCACCGCTCTGGGGGAGGCGGCCGCATGGCCCTCTGGGGTCCCAGAGCATCCCTGACGCTTAGCCCAGTGCTTCTCCAGGACTCACAGTGGGGGAGGATGGGAAGGCTGATTTAGCAATGCAGATTCTCAGGCCCCACCTCTCAGCAGGGCTGGAGCTAAGGCAAAGTCAGCAAGGCACTAGCCCTGGGCACAAAATTTTACTGGGGATGGGGAGGGGAGCCAAAAAACTCAGTCCTGGAGACAAACGGCATTCCAGTGCAGATTTTTTTTTAATTTTTTTTTTTATTTTTGACAGGCAGAGTGGACAGTGAGAGAGAGAGACAGAGAGAAAGGTCTTCCTTTGCCGTTGGTTCACCCTCCAATGGCCGCCGCGACCGGCGAGCTGCGGCCGGCACACCGCGCTGATCCGATGGCAGGAGCCAGGTGGTTCTCCTGGTCTCCCATGGGGTGCAGGGCCCAAGTACTTGGGCCATCCTCCACTGCACTCCCTGGCCACAGCAGAGAGCTGGCCTGGAAGAGAGGCAATCGGGACAGAATCCGGCGCCCCAACCGGGACTAGAACCCGGTGTGCCGGCGCCGCAAGGTGGAGGATTAGCCTAGTGAGCCGCGGCGCCAGCTCCAGTGCAGAATTTTTAAAAATGCTGTCAAAAAAAAAAGTCCATGGTGAACAAAAGTCTAAGTAACGCCAGGGGCTGTTCTCCACTTGGGTGACTGGGTCTCACCCGCCCCAGCCTAGCGCCCGTCTGGTCCCGATGCCCCTCGTTCTCCCCTGAGACACCTCTGATTGGCCACGGGCAAGGCTCCAAAGAAGCAGAGGTGGAGCCTTTCCCACCTGTTCCCGGTGGCTGCTGAGGCATGGAGGCCCCACCCCGTGGACGGGGGTCCAGGTAGGCACGAGCTCCATGGACAACCCCACCCTCACCGCCAGGCCACAAGATGCCTTCCGCTGGGATGATGCCTCCCCTGCGAGACAGGGTCCCCATCAGCACCCTTGCACTTCAGATCAAGCGGCTGAGGAATTGCCACGAGACGTGCCTCGGCAGCCGTAAAGCCGAGCCTGAAAGGGTCTTTCCATTTCTTTCTGCAGAGAACCGGCTGTTTACCCAAATGACCTATAGCAGCCCAAGCTCACTTTGCTGAAACACATTTAAAGTCAACAACTGGACTTTTAAAACAAAGCCCAGGATGGTGCTGGTTTTCCACCACGTTTGTGCTTCCTTAGATGGGGGACCCCAAAAAGAAGCCCTTAGACTCTTCCTGCAAATGAGGAGCCCCCTTCATGGGGGGACGGTGTCTCCATGGAGATAACCGAACAGGAGATGCCTCAGCACAGGAGTGCGAGGGCCTCATGGTGGACATGACAGCTACTTGGCAATGACCTTCAACTGAGGTCCTAGAGATGCTATAGGGCCGGGAGGGGCTCCAGCAGAAGTGGACCCAAGCTATGGAGTCGCATCCCACCCAGGCTGCTGAGTTGTTCAGCTTCCCACAGAGAACACAAATACTAAGATTTGCCGTCTTCCACTAAAGGCTGGATTGGCCTATCTACTGCCCCCACACCCACAGCAGGTGCTGGCCGGAGCCCAGGACTGCAAGCTCAGTTCCCAGCACCCCTGGTGCCTCGGTGGTAGACACCACCAGTTGCTGACTTCAAAACTGCCCCCCAAGCCTCCCCCACCCAAGTTCCCCCATGCGTGCCCAATGCTGGGATTTATGCCAAACTCAGCAATCCCATCAGCCTTTGCCAATGAGACATGGGGGCGGGGGGGGGGGGCATGTGACCCAGTCCTGGTCAGTGAGACCCCAGGGGAACTCTGCGTGAGATTGCCCAGGCAAAGCTTCCCTCTGAAAAGGGACATTCAAAACATGTATATGTATTTGGGAGGCAGAGTGGCACAGGAGAGGCAGACACCGAGAGCGCTCTTCCATCTGCTGGTTCACTCCCCAAATGGCCACAACAGCCAGCTCTTGGCCAGACTGAAGCTGGGGGCCAGGAACTCCATCAGGGTCTCCCACGAGTGTTGGGGCCATCAGCCACTGCCTTCCCAGGAGCACGAGCAGGGCTCTGGGTCAGAAGTGGGGCAGCCAGGACTTGAACTGGTGCTCATATTGGATGCAGGCATCCCTGCTGATGCACCTGGAAAAGCAGCAGAAGATGGCCCCGGAGCGTGGGCCCCGGCACCCACATAGGAGACTCAGATGGAGGTCCTGGCTCCTGACTTCAGCCTGGCCCAACCCCAGGTGTTGTGGCCATTTGAAGAGTGAACCAGTGGATGGAAGAGCTGTGTGTGTGTGTGTGTGTGTGTGTGTGTGTGTAACTTTGCCTTTCAAATACATAAAATCTAATACAAAAGTTGGACTTCACACCCTTCCAACAGGCCCACTGGTCTTTAGCAGAGTCCACCTGCAAAGCGGCCTTCCTCTAAGCCTCGCTGTTGTGTGAGGGTCACATCTGGGGCAGCAGAGAGGAGTGAAAGCCCTGGGACAAGCGGAGGGACCGGGGTTTTGGAGCCAGGGAAGCTCAGGTCGGATTCCCCAGCAGGTCGCTGCCTTGGTGCCTGACCCTGGGCAAGCTACCGGGCCTCCCAGCACCTCCAGTTCTTTCTCTGTAAAAGCGGAACAAGAACACCCACCTCACATGAGGATGTGACAAAACACAGCACACAGGTCACCCAGAACGGAGTCTGCTGGCTCAGGGCACAGTAGCCGTTGCTGCCCCTGGGAATTAATCCACGAGAGCTCCCCGGCCGCCCTGGGAGGGGTCTGCGCAATGGACCATTCACACAAGATGGCAGGGGACACGCCGCAGCCCCGCTTCGCAGAGCTGTGCCAGGGACTCTCACACGCCCCGCGTTTGCCTGCCCGCGGAGGCTGCTCATTGCAAATGCGCTTTCACACTTCGTCACAGCAGACTTGGCAGGCGCACGATTGGGAGAACTTTTCATTAGCAGTTAGATAATGAATGTGGGGGAGCCACAGGGCTGCAGACTCCCCGGCATCCAGACGGCACGCCCAGTCTTCCCCCACCGCCACGGCCTGAACCCCGGGGGCCAGGGTGTGCTCTCTCTGTTGAAAGTCATGGCTCTGGCCACTGAGGAGGGGGTAATGGGTGTCCACCCTTCTGGGCAGCAGCATAGGGTGGAATAAAGGGCTGGACCCCGTGCCTGGATCCTGCTCCTAGCATTCAATAACTGGGTGGCCTTGGGCAAGGTACTGAAGTTCCCTGAGCATTGCTCTTCCCATCTGGAAAATGGGCATGATGATCACACTTCCCTCCGAGCACTGTGGGGATGGGGAGAGGAGTTGATTTGGGGAGGAGGGAGTTTCTTGAGGCTGGCACTGTGCTGTAGC